GTAAGATAATGGGACTCCAGGCTACATTTGTAATATAACTAGCGCCTGAGATGACTTAATTCTTAGGACTATATCGCTCTCTATTTATTTAATTAACTCCAAGAAATTCAAAATATAGAATAAAAGTATCAAATTTGTTGAAAAAAAAGATCACAAAATTGAAGGATCAAATTTTTCTATCTCATCTTTTCTCTCTCTTCCTTTCCTTCCAATAATTCCTATCAGTACATAATAATTCTTCATATGTGAGAACCATGTACTAAACTTTTCGTACACTTTAAGTATCTCGATCTGAGATCGGTGTACAACTTAACTGTCTAATAAATTAATTTCTTTAAGAAAAATTAAAAATTTCGCACCAACATCCCGCTCTCGATGCTCTTCTATTATATTTCTTGATTGTTATCATACGAGCCTTTCCTTCGTATGTGTTATTTGTGTTTTAAAGGATTAAAATTCATCGCAAACATACCGATATTGTTGCCGGCCAAGGACAGCACCCTGATGGCGCGCGGTCCTTTGAGAGAGGCGGTCGGCACCGCGGTGAGGTTGTTGCCGTCGAGATACAACTCCTCGAGATTCGTGCATCCTTTCAAAATCCCCTCCTCGATGCTCCTGAGGCCGTTCCTGCTGAGATCGAGTATCTCGAGCTCCTGCATGCCGTGGAACTCGTTGCTGGAGAAGATCGGGTTTAGGCTGTCGCCCAACAGATTGTCGGCGAGCCGCAGCACGCGCAGTTCGCTCTGCACCTGCTGCAGCACGCGGTCCATCAGCCGGTGGATCGAATTGCCGGACAGATCGAGCTTCCGCAGGTTCAAACCGGAATTAATGAGGTCCTCCGGCAAGGCCTGGTGGCCGCAGCGCCGCTGGCTGATCGACACGATCGGCTGGCCGTGCAGAACGCTCGCGGTGTCGCGCGTGAAGATCACCCGGTCGCAATTCATCTCGATCGAGCGCGGATAATCCGCGGACACGGCGCATCTGCACGGCACCAGGAGATCCCGCTTCAGCTCGACGCAGGGCCTCCATTGCGCCTGGCTCGGCGGCGTGACGGCCGATAGAAGAAGGATCGCCAGCAGGTACGAACTGAAAAGGAAGAATCAATATTTTCAGGCTTCAATTAAAATTCTATCGTTAAGCTCTTCTTTTCTACTCGCTCGTAGCTCGCAAATTAGTCAGCAGAAATCCGCTCGAAACGTCCTGCAGACGCTGCTGGCTTTTTATATGTAATGAAATTTTTTACGTTAAAAGAAATTCACGCGTGACAGATCTCCAAGGATTGGAAACTTAAGTAGTGATACATGAGAATATTCGACGATCTCCGTTCGAATAAAAAACGCTTTCGCTTCCCTAGAGCCACTAATCTTCTCTCCATATAAATGTCTTTCAAAGTTAACGAGTTCTCGGTGAAACTGCACTCGGCGAAACTACGTGTCCAGAAGACAATCTCCATTTTATGATTTTATGGCGATTAATATTTCTTTCGTGAGAATTACGTTCTAGTTTTCACTCGGCGCGAATCCTCGCATCCTCTCCAGCACTTTTCACTTATCAGATTTTAATAAACCGCGAAATTCCGGGTTCTCAGCACATCGAGAGAATAGAATTATAAATTGTGCATAGAAAACCAGAGATCTAATCTTAAGTAATTAATAATTTATAAAATATTGTAATTGCGTACGACGAAGACATCGTTAGGCGTTATTCCGCGCAATAAATATCGAGCTGTATAAAGATATTCAGCGTGCAAAAATAAATATGGAGAAAGCATGCGGACGCAGACGGAAAATAAATGAGGCGTAAACCACGTCGGTCATGCAAAATAATCACTCGCTTAATAGCGCGGGATGCAACAATTACTCAACACCTCATTTCGTAAAATCCCTCTCCGAGTCGTCACGCGACATTAGCAAAGTTATCGGTTTTATCAAACGGCATGTGCGCGTCGGCTGCGCAATTTCAGCGAAATGCCAGCGCGCTTCACGCGACGATGTAAATTCTCCCGGCGACGCGTCGAAGGAGTCAATCGCGATTTTAACGAAAGGATCGCCCGTCGATGTGTAATTAACGGAATTACTCGAGTGTCGTGCATAAAGAGAGATCTGTACGCGGCGCGTAGTCTCTTCATCTCCTCGAAGTTCGGAATGCGATTCGAGTCGAGCCGGAGTAACGGTAGGTGCTGTTTGCGGAGAGTCCGGGGACCGTGTAATTCTTACAGGCGGCATCGCCTTGGGCAGGTCTGGCCTCTCCGCGTACGTGCTGTCGCGATAATCATCGAATCGGCGGATAAATTTCTAATTAAACAGCGTTAGACGCCCCTCCTCTCCCCTTCATTGAAACGGAATGTTAATGATCGATACGAGAAGTGGAGCTGCTTGCGAAACGCAACGATCGGCACGGCGGTTTCGGTGTCACGTACACGCGTGCGGGATCGCGTGTAATACATATTAATGCCGCGGAATATTTGCGCCGGGATCGCTTTTACTCCCGACAACTCGCTCACCATTCAGCAATGTCCGCAATGCGCGTGCAATTGCGAAATAGCGTGAGCAAGTGCGAAAATACCGGTCGCTCGAACGAAACGCGCGGAATGAAACCGTATGAATGAAAGCGTCGGGACGCCGATTTTCTTCTCGCCGCGCAGACCCGCGATCTACTTCCTGTTTTGGAAGAGTTTTCCGACAGAAGTGTTCGATTTGTTGTTGAAAGTTCAAATAAATTATATTTTTTGAACATCGTTCTTTAAAAAAAAAAGTAACACAAGGCGGAAGAATGTGAAATTTGTCGAAAGCTTTAAGCATATCCTTGTTTTGCGAGAGAAATGATATAAACAAAATTTTGCGTAAAGATTTCTGAAACTTTTAGAATGTGGAAAACAAATCTTTTCTTTCGCCTTGCGTCATTTCTCTTCCAAATGAGCGAATCGTAATTCTCTTGCCACGAATTTCGAGCAGAGCGCACATTTGCACGAGATTCTCTGTAATGAGAATTGAATTATGCATATCCCGGCGCAATTTTGCACGTCATTATGTAACTCGCGTCTAAAATGTCAGAACATAATGGAGAGTACGCGAGGATGCAGCTTCCTGACGCATGTACAGTCGCCGGCAGACAGTCAATCTGCGGGTGATTTGTCACCGTCATTACTTTTCGCCCGTTTCTCGGGGCAGCGGAATTGTTTCCAGCTCCATCATCATCGTAGAAAGTATGTGCATTTGACAGCGCACGTGCGAACGCAATAATACAATTTACCACTGATGCAAGAACGCGCACTAACGATTTCACTATCTTTGATAAAAGTGAGCGCTGCGGTTTTGTTGGAAATGCTTTTTCACACCGTCGATTGAAAACTCGCAGCGTCAAACTTGCTCAATCATGTGAGACTTTTCGCTATCTTCTCTGCCACGAGATATGTTAAGCTTTTTTCCTCTCTCCATTTTTATCATTGCACCTAAAATCCATATAAATGATTATTTATAAATCATAATTGTAATTATCTTTTTCGGTCTTAAATTTATCCACCTTAAATTCGGCTTTTTTGAATTATATTCAAACCACGCTTTAAATATTACGTTTCTATACAAAGTATCTTCCCAAATTTGCAACTTAAATTTAATAACAAATTCTCACAAATTTAAGATTTATTTTCCCTCAAAGAAAATATTGAAGCAGAATTTCTTGTAAATTGTACTTCAGAAAAATAAATAGATAACAGAACTGTATTTTTCCGTTCGTTTCAAGTGAGTTTTATTACAATTTTTATTTTAAGCAAAAAGTTACGATCAAAAATTAGAAAGTTCTCGTAATTTCTTCTTGAAACATTTCCGCTATGAAAAGAATCGAAACTCAATTGCAAATTGTGGAACATCCTGTATATTACAAACAAAAGAAAATATTTGTCATGATAATTAGTATCAGGTCTACATAAGTAAACAAAAATCCGTTGAACATTACAATAGCGGAATGAAACTCGAATAGATAAAAATAAACCCATTCGAGTTTCATTCACTCTCGCGACGACTTCATCGGATTCTACGGTTCCGATAGCAACGGCTCATCTTACGCATCTTTTTACAATGTTGAAACAGATGTAACGGTTTCGGCACGCGCGTATAGGGTGTCCTAGAAATTATCGGATATTCATCGAGTTTCGAATTCAATGTTCTCTGCTTTTACGAAAACTTTTGCGCTGCTCCTTTTCGCAAGATTTCAATTTCCCGGCAATTAAAAGCTTGGATTTTGTTGATAAAGTTGAAACGCGACGAGTTCATTATTATTCACATCCTCGAAGTTTACCTCGCCAAGAGCTGCCGCGTTGAGCAACTTTTTTTTCAGTCGTTAAATAGCTTCGTAATTATCGTCTTGCGGTTAAATTGACTGGCATGCGTCCAACGCATTTCCGGCATTTTTCCTGTTCGCAGATGCGGAGACATCCGGGACGCATTCCAACGGGAAAGAACGAACCGCTCCGGGATGCTCCGTTCACGGCAGCATCCAGTCAACTCGTAAAGGCGACTCTTCTTAATTACCATGTCGGATGAAACAGGTTTGCGGACAAAAGAATCGGCAGAAAGGCGCGACCTCGCCGCGATCCTTTTTTCTTCTTCCGCTACGCGCGGATTCCGCGGCACCGGAGGGACGGGTGTATCGGATTAGAGCACCGCCACGGCCTCCTCCGATCTAACGCGATAGCCACGGCGGAATGCATTTTTGCGCTTCCGCCGACCAGGCGCATCCCGTGCGCAGCGCACGTTCCGCGAGGAATGCTATCTCGCGCGACGGAGAGAAGCTCGCATAAACATTATGTTTACCAGTTGATTTTCTAGTCGCCCGATGGCGGCCGCGAGACGTTTACGCATCTGCTTACGCATCTCTTTACGTAAAAATAAAATTCTTGCATCTTGAATGCCGGCAAGTAGCTATAAAAGTTACGAAGTCCTTCGTTCAGTTGAGTAGAAAGTTACGTTTTACAATGAAGTTAAAAGCGTGATTGTAAGACGTATAAAAAATTATATTTTTAATCGAAAGAAGATGTAGAAGTAAATTGCAGCTCTTTTTCGTGAAAACAAGTTCTGATGAATTACGATTATAATTTCAAATTACAAGTTCTTGAATGCTCATCGGATTATTCGGGGCGTTTCTCAATGATGTGCAATTCAGCTCGCAATCGCGCTTATTTCGTATTCTTATCAATAATTAAATCAGATACGTCGAAGGACGTATTGCGCGATCACTTCGGCGTTCAAGCCGGAATGATCACGCTTGTGACTTTCGTATTTCATGAATCACGGATTAAAATGTCAACCGGATTGTCAATGTATAGTACTTTCAATCGAATATTTCGAATACACATTCCGAATGCACTGCAAAAATTCTGAATCAATCGCCGATTTCGGAAATCAAAATTTCACAAGCTTATCGATTTTGTTAAGTTTTAATTCTCTCTGCAATATCTAATATACAGTTGCGGTATCTCTGTTCACGTATTATTATCTCATATTTATGTTATTACGTACTTTTCCTTAATTCCCACGCGTCTTAAAATATGTTTTCACGGACGGTGCACTTGAAGAGAGGAAGAGAACTACGCGCTTAGAAACGAAAAAAAAACGAAGCTCGTTCTTGCGGTCATTGAAATCCCTTCAAGTTATGCTTCTCCTTAGCTATTTTCTCTCCTCATTCTTTTTTGTGAAGGATATTTAGCTGATTTTTACACGATACGTTTCAGATATCCCATTCGATCGCGGTTAAAGAGGAGACATTCAACTTACATCATGATCGCGCCTTCCACGTGACGACGGACGCTGGCAAATGAGTATCTCGCGGTCGCCAAGGGACGTGGATTCGCTTCACCGCTGATCAGTCGGCAGCATCACCGTCCGCGTGGACGCACTGTACACCCGGTGGACACAGAGGACAGACGGGCACACATATACAGAAGGACGGGTCACCGCACACTCGTCATCGTCGAACTGGCGTCGGACCGGCCCGATCGGCGATCTCGTTTCCCGCGATTCCTCGCGTCGGTCGATCCAGGCGCGAATTCCCGCGAGCAAGTTGTCTTGTTTTCCTCTTGTTTCCCTCGTGTCTTGCTTCACGCTGTGCCTCACGCCGGAGAAAGGGTATACCGCGGCACGCCGAGCCCGAGCCGACGTTCGCGTAGTCGGTCGCGCACTGGCTGGCTCGCCGCGACGGAAAACTCGTGACGGCCGAGTGAAAGAGAGGTACCCTGAGGAGGAGAGCGCTGTGCCCTTCCTTGGGGTTCGTGGACTCCGAACATAACGGGGATCGCGCGAGTAAACTCGTTGCGAAGCAATCTCCGTCGCGCCGCAGCGTGCGTGAGACCCCATGTGTTTCGCCTAGCACTGGGTGTAAAAGGAAGTCAATTAACAATTTGAAAAAGGAGAATGAATTAAATATAAAATTGAAACTGAAATATACTTGACTTCATTCTTTCACAGGTTTGGCATAATTTTGTACGTAAATGAATGTACAAGTTGAAGTAAAATTATCGGTACAGTTAAATTAAAATTATTCAAGTTTTACAATTAAGAAAGAAATAACTTAATTGTCTGATAATTAGATGTTTAATTATAATTTATTTGTATATTTATTTTCAATATAATTATAATAAATTGATTTTTTAATTCCAATGTTATCAAAGTGAAAAATTATGTGCTTTATAGAAATTCTATTCACAATTAAAAGCTTACCTGTTTTAGCTGAGAGGCGTTTGAAATTTCTAGCGATGAGTAACGTGACCTCCGAGACAGGTCGTGAACGAAGGACGATGTCCTGCTGCGAGAGAGCCATGATGACTTACTTAGGCATTCCAGGTATCGCGTACCATTTTCACGATATTACGTTATGCGTCAGTTGGCAGCTGAGATTTCAACGCACTTTCAAGCACGATACGCACCCGCAAAGCGAAATTGCAGTGGATCGCATAACAGTTTTTCTCCCATGTCGTATGTAAACGTATGGTGTTACACCCACGCAAAGGGAAACTGGAACATGAGGAAAGAATAAGTCGAGATTCTAAGTTCGCACGGATGTGAGTTTACAAATGTGAAATCAGCAGCCGATTTCGAAAATTTACAAATTCATAAAATATTTGCCAACTTTGTTTGGCTATTTTCAAAGTTATATTTATTTACATATGATGCGTAGAAATACTACAAAAATAATTTTGTTTGAAAAGCTAAATGAAATTGATATTAATTTCATCAAACATGTACAATTATTATGTTCAAATACTTTTTTTTTTAATTGTGTACTGTGTAAATTTTCGAAACAAGATGATGGTATCTCATTGCCATCAATTTACATTATCAAATTGCAAATAGAAAGCAAATTAAAGTACGTGTATTATACTCGCTTGTTCTCGCAGCAGGATACTATTACATGTGCGAATTTAATTTCGCCGCTTTAATCTAAATTGCAAGGCAGGAGTCTGTAACGGGAAATCTCGCCCAAAACGGGCATTGAGAGACCAAGTGAAACGATATTCAAGCGAGATAATCCTACAACAATATGACGCTATCGCGCTAAAAATATCTACGCAAAGTACTATTTAAGCATTTATTCGATGTGTATATTCTTAAAATATTATCGCTATTCCTTCCTTCTTTTAAGATTATTAAATTAAAATTAAATTTCAAAAAAATTAATTACTTCTTAATTTCTGCGAGTTGCCTATTTCATAAATAAAAAAAACATAAATTAATAGTCAATCAGTTTCAGTTTCACTGTATTAGAATATTATATCGCAAATGTTGGCGATATGCAAAGAAAAACACATGAGAAGATGCGCGTATCGCGAAGAAGCTAAAAGTACACAATAGCGTGTTAAAAATCGACCTGCTTAAATAGGTCTTTGCGGAAAGAGAAGTAAGGGGAGACAACGTCTCTGGGAAAAGAGAGCTCGGCTCACAACAGGCTGCTGGCCCGGTCTCGATGGATGCGGAAAGGCATAAGTCGAGAGGTACGTTTCTCGGGCGCACGGCCTTTCACTGCCAGCCGCGCCAGTCGACTCTCCTCTTTGGCGTAGTGGCTCTCTCGCTAATCGGTCGTCGACGCCTGCTGGCCGTCAAGCCGCTCGGTATGCCGCAGGGATTGCTTTTTACATTCTCATCTAAATGCCAATGTACTCTACTAGAGTCAGAATATGTGAAAGATGTAGTGGAGAAGATTCTATAAAAGATAAACTAAATTTTGAAAACGTTTTCTTTAGATATTTAATTTTTTTAATTTGTAAATCATTCTCTCTCTCTCTCTTTCTTTAGATATTTTTTTACATGTTCTAAAAAATATGCTAAATTTTTAAGATTAAAATTTTTTCCAGTTTTGTGGACATTTAAATGTTTGTGACGTTTATTAAATATCTTTTAAACGTACCTTTAGATATAAATATTTCAAATACTTGCTGTTTTTTCTGAATTTTTGAAACAATATTTGGATGTTTTTCAGTCTTAAACTTGTAGATATTCATTATGCTCGCAAGTAGAAATAAGATTGATAAAATGACAGATATGTTTTCTTTATTTTACCAACTTGTGTCTTCCTATTGCAATAAATCACTCTCATCAATCTCAGACCGCCATATTCTAAAAATCACAATCGTGATAATGTCAACTCGGGAAACATACAGATACATTATATGCTTAGCACATTAATTAATCGAATTTTAGGTTTGCACATATTGTTTACCAGAAATGTATGATCAGTGAGTGTCAAAACAATCATTCCAGTGTTACTTGACATTTCTTGAACATTCTTTAAACTTCTTTATTTTTTGTTTACATACATGGCGCCCATTTCCACCGAAGAGAAGGATTCGAGAAATACACAATCGATTACTGTCAAATCGAGAATCGATAAATCGACGATTGTGATTATGATCGATAGATGGAGACTCGATTCTTACGCGTACGATCGAGATATTCTAAATGGGCGTCTAGGACCAGTGCGTGATCTGTCAAAACATTCATTAAATATCGGCAGTTATTCGCTGCAATTCGTAATAATTATTTCGCAAGTCGCATAGTTCAATATCGATCCGAAAAAATGTCGGCGATGTTAACCGCCGATTGGTTTCCTCTCGGACGAGATGTGTACTTTCGGTAAGTTTCCAAAATTTATGATGTTTCTTCACAAGTTTGATTATGTTTATGACAATAAGGAAATTTAATGCTCTGCTGTATGTGTCGATAACCTAACAAAATATTTTATATTGCAGAAAATTTGAGCTCTACCCGATATCCTTCCAGCACGAGATTTCCAGCAACAATTGGGTGGTGGCTGCTCCTTATGGAGGTTCCATTGCCGTCACGAGAAACCCTAAGAAGCTTGTCAAAGTTCAGGGTGCTATCAAGCCTTTAATAATGTTGTACACATCGTCGGGGAAATTGACAGCTAAACTGCAAGTAAGAGCTCTTTAATGCAAATTATTAGATTCCATTGTACAGCCAAGTATTGTTTAATTTTTGTAGTGGAGCAGTGGACAACTAATAACATTCGGCTGGTCCCAACAAGAGGAATTGTTGTGCGTACAAGACGATGGCATGGTTCTTATATACGACATGTTTGGAACTTATCAGCATACTTTCAGCATGGGAAATGTAAGTTTGAAGTGTGAATTTTTCTATTGCAGATGGATTTCTTTGTATTTATAAATTTTTTTCTTACTTTAAGGCAGCAAAGGATACCAAAGTTGTTGACGCCAAGTTCTTCACAACATCAAACAGCACTGGGATAGCTGTCTTGACGTCCACCAATCGTATATTTCTTGTGAACAACACATCTGAGCCAAAAGTCCGACCAATTACTGACATGCCCAGTAAGTATAATGTATTTGTATACTTTGAACTGTCATTGTTATCGCGATTGTTAAATTTTTAGGACACGGTGGTCAAATTGATTGCTGGTGCATGGTACACTGTGATAGGGAGACCCAAGTGATTTTGTCAAACAAGGAAGGAATATTTGTTATTCATCAATCTCATCAGAACACATTTCCATTTGTAAGCGACTTATAATATCATTAATATCATTTATTTAATTTTCATCATATTTGGGAATTAAAATTTTCTAACAAGCTATTTTCTTTTATTTTTAGAGCAACCTCTTCAACAACAAGATCAGTAATGTGGTAGCGATAGTTGTGTCGGCTAACAACCGACACGTTGCGCTTTATGCCGACACTGGACACTTGTACATCGGTTCGATAGACTTCAAGGAGAAATATTGCGAGTGCTATACAAATATTAAAGAACCTTTGGCAGATATAGCCTGGTCAGTAAAGATACTTGTATAATTGTTTAAATATTGATCAAATTTAAAAAATTCAAAATAACATTTTGCAAACTGACAGGTGTGGCACAGAAGCCGTGGTGTGCAGCTGGAGCAGTACGATAATGGTGATAGGACGTACAGCCGAGACTATAGTGTACAATTACGACGATCCTGTGCACCTGGTCACTGAAATCGATGGAGTGCGCGTATTGTCGAGCTGCTCTCACGAAATGATACAGAAAGTACCGCACGTCGTGCAAAGGATATTCGGAATCAACTCGACTGATCCTGCTTCCTATCTCCTGGAGGCCTCCAAGCAGTTCCAGAAGAAGAGTCATAAGGCTGACAGTTATATAGATTTAGTTAAAGATAAATTAGACTCGGCGATAAAAGCGTGCATCGATGGAGCGAGCCACGAATTCGACTTTGAGACGCAAAAGATTTTAATGAGAGTAAGTTCAGCAAAATAAAGTACAATAGTGTACATTAAAAAATATAAATTTAACTGAACGCTAAAAATTTTATAATTTTATCAGGCTGCAAAGTTTGGAAAAGGATTCAGCAAGACGATAGACTCGGATTATTATGTTCAAATGTGCAGGACTCTGAGGGTTTTGAATGCGGTGCGACATCCCGCTGTGGGCATTCCGTTAACTTATACGCAGTATCCTTTCATATTTCGCATTCGATTCGTGTGCGTTATTTTTCTTGCGTTCTATCTAAATCCTTATTAATGCTAGATTTAACGTTCTCACGAATCAAGTGCTGCTAGACAGATTAGTCGCGCGGAGGCACTATTATTTAAGCATACAGATAGCACGCCACTTGCAATTGCCCGAGATCGACGGGGAAAGTAGGATATTGGCGCACTGGGCGTGCTACAAGGTAAAAAATAAACAAGGTATATGTGAATTGGAAGTGAAAAAGCTCTGATTCAATTATATTTTGCAGGTGAAACAGACGCAATTAGACAAGGAGCAAATAGCGGAGGAGATAGCTGACAAATTAGGATATGCTCCTGGTGTTTCGTACAGCGAAATCGCGAAACGAGCGGCGGATTGTGGTCGAAAACAGCTGGCCATTAAAGTAAATCTATTGCACGAATGTGATTATATTCTATTATTCATGTACATTGAGTGCCATCGCTCCACAGTTAATCGACTACGAGCCACGCGCGCATCAACAAGTGCCGTTGCTGTTGACGCTCGGCGAAGAGCGAGCCGCCCTGCTCAAAGCTGTGGACAGCGGCAACACGGATCTGGTCTACACTGTCATTCTTCATCTTCGAGAGAACATGACTCTCGGGGACTTTCAAGTAAGCGGTGCTACAGTTTGTTTTGAATGCAGACACATTAATTTGCACAATCTCATAACCGATCTGTGACGCAGATGTCTATAATGCACTGTCCTCTAGCGATGGCATTATATATCAAGTACTGCCAGAGCCACAACAGAGAGACATTGCGCGATATTTACAATCAGTACGACGACTTCCATTCGCAAGCGGTTTGGTTTATCACAGAGAGTTATCAGCGAAAGGTTGGTCGAATTATTCCTGTATTTCTAAGTTAAATATATATTTTTTACAATAAGTCGAATAAAATTGTTTAGAACACGATGTCGAGGGACGCGTTGCTGCAATCTGCCCAAGAAAACTTTAAACTGGCTCGGAACGACACCAACGCTTCGCTGACAGAAGAGCAGATAAAACTCTTGAAGTATCAGAGATCTTTGGAAGATACGCTGCACGAGTCAGTCGTGGGAAAGCCTCTGCACGAAACTGTGAAAGTTCTATTATTGCGTAACGAGTTGAAATTAGCGGACAAATTGCGATCGGAATATAAAATACCGGACCGGAGGTATGTTAATTTTTTAAATTTAAAAACGAAATTTTTACATATATTGTCTTGCTTTATTTGACAGATATTGGTGGTTGAGAATACAATGTTTAGCAGAACAAGGTCTGTGGAGCGATTTGGAGAAATTTTCGAAGAGCAAAAAGTCCCCAATTGGCTACGAGGTGACGATAAATAAACTTGCCTGTTATTTTTCTGTAATTTATTTAACAATTACGTTCTAACAATTTCATAAAACTTTTCAGCCGTTTATAGATGAATGTCTAAAATACAATGAAAAGTTGGAAGCTAGGAAGTATTTAGCCAAAGTTCGAGACGACCTCAAAGTGAAATATCTAGTGAAATTAACGTGAGTACCTGAAAATTGTACTTGTTCAAAATGTAAGTAAGATATAAATGACACATGAGTGAATATCTCCGCAGTATGCTGAGCGAAGCGGCGCAAACAGCGTTTGATCAAAAGGACACTTCGGCCCTCACATTTGTGCTTGCACAGTGCGGATCGTCGGACAAACAATTGGTGGACAAGATCAACATGTATCTAGGCGCTCTTAAAAATTAAAGTTATTTTTTATTCGTTTTATAACTTGCATTTATATACAATTCGAAGAACGTGAGCAGTTGACGTGGAATAGCGACTTCAGAATGATTTTGCGGAACAATTGGTATTCAGAAGACCAATCAAACGATAAATATTACATTTTGCTCAATAGATATCGACTTGATCTAAGTCTCTGCTCACGCTTGTAATAAAATGATGTACAAAAATGTGAATGTAAAATATTTGTTGTATAAAATAGTGATATTTGTAACTGAATCCTGTACACCTCTATAATCCCGATTATATACATATAGTGTTATATTAAACCTGAGTTATTTAATATCTATCGTTCATATTTAAATTTAAAACCTAATAAACATGTGATAATGTTTTACAGCCCGAAGCTAGTTGATCAACTAGAATCTTCGAACCGTATAAACTTTATATGCTTTTCAACGAGGTCACTTACAATCAATTGCTCGATCTCTTCTCCGTCATTCAATTCTTCGTTCGTAAGAGAAAGAGTATAATCAGTCTCCTTGCTCACCATTACCACCTGTTGCTTCCTGGTTTGTAACATGTTGCCTATTACAAGCTGAAAGGATTTTCCATAAAAATTTACACGCACTTGAAGAAGTGGAAAAATTTAATAATGTATACATTTGGACAACAATTGCTTACGTTATGCTGATACTTGTTGAGAGCGGTTCTCGCTTTAGAAATTAACAGACTTTCGTCAGTTTCCAGTTTGAAGGAAATCACAAATGCTTTCGGCACCCATAAGCTAACTAACGGGGCCAAGATCTTTGGGACCAATTGAAGAGATATGGTTGGTGGTCCACTCGAGGAAATCTTATGAACTGCCTAAAAGGATCCGTAAAGTGATAGAATACGTTCTATAAATGAGAAATGAGTTAATTATTATAAATTATATACCATTTCATTAGAAGGAATGTAAAAGTCTGAGACTGCTGCAGCTAAATATAGAATAGCTCTGTTCTCCAGAGGCGCAAGGGCTTGACAAGCGGATCGAAGCAGCCAGAGATATTCGGAAACAGTCGTGAAAGTAAGTTGCAGCAATTTTTTTTTATCAAGCGCTTCCCTGTATTTTCTTAATACTGTTGCCACCTTTTGTGTATGTTCTGGTAGTACTGTAAAAATAATTATATCAAATTAGACCATTTTTATAACATACATGAATTACACGTATAGTTGATGTCGTACGATGTACCTGTGATAGCTGGATGCTCGCTATTATCTGATAATTGAAGCAAGTCCAAAAATTTCTGTCCTACAAAGTGCCTGGAGAATGGTTCCAGTGATTTAATTCTGTAAATATAACAATCGTCCTTCTATCATTTATGAACTTAGAACAAAATATTTCTTCTATTTATGAAATCAACAGCTGTTTCAAAGAAATAAATTTTTGGCATTCATATTTTTGTGTCATCAAATCAACGGAATATGAATATTGACAAAGAGTGGAGCTTAAAATATAGATGCTGATTTAAAATAAATATTTTATGTCACGTGTAATATAAAACTTGTTACCTGTACATAAAAATAACTGCATATCCATGCTCCAAAAAGCATTCTGCTGAAACGGAACCTCTTGTACCCGCACTAAAGTTATCCACAAATCTGACAGTGTTATGTTCCAGAGGTACTGTCGTACCTCCACTCTATATAAATGTATAAAGTTGAAATATTGCGAGAAAAATGGTTGTAATACATAATTTTCTAAAACTCACCGTCACTAATACTACTTTATTACCAGCATCAAAATGTTTTTTAGTAAATTCTTGCAATGCATTTTCGTTTTGCACCAAATCCTGTGGAGGTGGTTGCATTGCATAGAAATCCTCCCACGCTGAGACCATTGTAAAGTTTTATGATGATCCAAAAGAAAACTATATGAAAAAAATGTTATAGAAATAAAAAATCGAGTGAATATCGAGTATATATGTATGTGTATATTACGTAATATCTTGATTACATATCTATATATTATATAATGCACTCTTAACCTTATGTTAAAATTGTTGAACATGTTATTTATTTTATATCATTAATAATATTTAATGAAATATATATCTCTATGGTTTAATGCAAAGATCCAAAAATTATGATCCATAAATATGCATTAAATAAATACTAAAATAAAGAGAAATTAGAAACTAACCTCAGTGTTGAAATGGTCTGCAAAAGAGCCAGACTTATTGTTTAATTTCGATCATTAATTAATATTTTTCTTAATACTAGTTGCATAAGAAGTTTAAAATAACTCAGGGCCTTTGTGTTATTTATATAATATACTATAAGTATATTCTCTTTCTATGTTTTAATTCTACACTCCTCTCTTTAGATCTCCATTCCACAGAACACATACAAGTGATTAGTGACATAATAAATCCATCATAATTTTTACAACTGCATTTCAAATAAAACATAAGATAATATTATAATTAACAAATAGATAACATAAGAAACATGTTGTAATTTAATAAGAATATTATAATATATATATTATATTATATTATATATTATATATAATCTATTTATAATATATATATATATATTATATAAATAGATTATAAATTTATAGTAAGATTTTAACAAAATGCAGTAAACTGACTTAGAAAATTATATTAAATCTGTTACAAAATTATGTAAACATAAAATGTAAAGTAAATTCTGTACTTTCTATATCAATTTTAGGATGTGTAGATAATTTATTAAATATTAAATCTCTTCAAAATTACATTACATAATGTACATAGAGAAATGAATTTCTTCCAGGAGTAATTTAAGACTGCTAAGCTTTTGCAACTCAGTCGCAAAATCGAGCCATGTAACTTGGAGACCACAAGTACTTAGAGGTAGTAATTTTTAACAATTTAATCCTACAACAAATACTAGTTTACATAACAGCTCAGTATTCTGGTGCTGGACTTTTCATTTTGTCGTAATCTATCTTGGGTGAGTAGAACTGAAAAACAAAATACAAACGTAAGTACATACAAGAATTCTCTGCTCCGAACAATCGACATTAGACCACTGTAAGATCACTTAAAATAAAAGACAACTGCCACCTTATATTGTTTGTCCTTATAGTAATCCCAAGGCTGGGCTTCTTTCTTATTCGTCCATGAAACGTCGGGATTACGAGTCGCCAAACGTAACGTGTAGAAGAATGCGGCAGCTCCACCGACGCCTATGCAGACGAACAGTGGAATCAGCTGGAACGAACGAGTAAATATCAAGTGATTATTAATACAGCGTTTATTACATGTCTATGTGATGACTTTTTTCGAGTGCTCACAGGTGGATGCTTTCTTAAGCTGCTCAAACTCAATCCTTGCATTTTCACCATTGTGGCGGTGATTAAAAACCTCGTATCCTCGAACGAAACGGACAACCCTCTGCGTTCTGTTTTCTTGATCTTCTCGTAACACGGCGCAGATTAAGGCCGATATCTATCTGGTATCGTGCGATAAGACGTTTAATGCAACGTGTATACAGAGCTTAAAGTTAAAGCGATATAAGTAACTGTTTCCGACGTGTCATTGGTTGAAAATTTCAGCAGGATTTCCAGAAAAATGGAGTGTTTCTGGCCGTTTCAGCGGGTAATTTAAATTTTTCTACATACTTATTTCGCTTCTGGGCTACTTCAGATAGTATTAAAATGCTCGTAAAATTCTTAAATGATGAAATTGTCTTTTTTAAAATTTTTGGAAAGTTTTTTGTTGTTAAAATTAAAAATGTCAATAGTTAAAAAAATGAAAAAAGTACGTACACAGGGGCATCATTTTTGGACGTTCTTTAAGATTGTTCTTTTTTAGGAAACTTCACGCTGCCTTCTGATTTCGTCTCAAATCTGGCGTCTCCGCTTGAAGATCATTGCGTGGTCGGCTTGAGGTGGACGGAACGGCGGGACGGATTTATCAGTCGGCGGACTTCCTTGATCGACATCATTGTCCGATGTATCCAATGGCGGTATTCCGCTGGTAAAAGTGCATTTTTCCATTTCAATTTTGGGCGACCGGGGTATAAATATAAATGTTGATCTCAGAACTGCGCGCGAGCGCGAGGACGCGCCGGAGTTGAGTAACGGGAGCACGTCGTCGTCGCCGTTGATGGTCATGTAACGATTCTAGACACGTCGCCGCGATCGTCGTCCTTGTCATCGTCGTCGAACGCATTCGAAATCTTTTAGCTAAATGTCAAAGCTATTCGTCGACGTCAGTTCCAGAGTATGCCGCTCTAACGAGGCCGCGAGAATGAGCTGTTGAGCGCACACCTTGCCGAGAATACGCAACATCGTGTTTGTACTTCCGCGAAGATGGGCTTTTCCACGAGTTTGCAGGGCCAGGCGTCGCACGAGGCGCTGCTGGCTCGTCAGGATGCCGAGATCAAGCTCCTGGAGACGATGCGACGGTGCCTGACGACGAAGGTCAAGTCCGACCGTGAGTATGCGTCTACAATTTCCTCGCTCACCGCGCAAGGGAAGAAAATCGAGCGCAACGAGGACCTCGTGGGCAGTTTAATAGCGCAGGTAGTCTTTTTGTGATTGTAGTGCTAGTCGTTGGATATTTGGTGTATCTTATAGAAATATGTGTATCATGTTGCAGAGCTGGAGAGATATAATGGACTCTATCGATCAAACCGCAAAATTAATCAAGCAACAAGCTGATTCTGTTGAGAGCATTGTTGTGGATCAGCTGAGCACATTGTATTCGGAGAGGAGACGGGCTAGAAAGTTTTATCAAGAGGAGCAGAGCTGGCTGAATAATCAATTGCAACAGGTAAGTAAAATCAGATTTAATTTGTTGTGTTCTTAATACCAGATGGATTGGTTTTAAGAACTTTCTGAGTCAAATAATTTAATTATTTATATTTATTACAATAATTCAATGAAGAGAGAGGAAGATTAATTGGAATCACATACTAAAATATAATTTGTTAAATATAAATTAAATTAATAAGGAATTTGCATCTAGGATGAAAATATTAAAATATGAATACTGCAAAGAATTTAATAAATTTTATTTATATTTTTATTTTGCTGTTTTGTTCATTGTTTAATATCTTATATTTTGTGTATTATTTTCCAGTTGACAGAGGATGTAACTAGGAAGAAAATGGAATATCAAAAGAATCTAGAGATGTATAAATTAATGAGGTCACGATTTGAAGAGTATTATGTTAAGTGTACGTTTAAATTTTTCTAAATTATATTTCAAATGAGCTAAACGAGTGAAATAGATGAGTGATACAGTGATGTGATTTTTTTTTAGCTGGTAGAGGCGGCCGCAAATTGGATGAAGTAAGAGAAAAATATCAGAAGGCATGCAGAAAACTTCATTTAACACACAACGAGTATGTTCTACTATTGGGCGCTGTAACAGAATGTGAACACGACTTGAGAACCTGTTATTTGCCAAGTCTGCTGCATCGGCAGCAAGCTATTCACCAAGAATTCATAACTTCATGGTGAGTTAGATTTTCTTATAAATAGCCTTTGTACGATATCCAACTGGGACAGCAGTAAAACTTTATTGCTTTTTTTATTATTGTAAGCATTTTAACAATTATTTCAATTGTAACAAATGTAAGATACAGTTTTAATACTTTTTATTGGATTTTTATTTGCATGCGACTAGAAATGGAGAAGGTAAAAAACTTTATTATATAAATTGATGGTCAATTGCTGCTTATGTGATGCTTAATGAGTCTCGGATTGTTTTAGGAAAGGAATACTTCAGGATATTGTAAAATACTCTGATTTTACAACAGAAAAATTCTTGGAGATCCATGTACGAGTGCAAAAAGCAGTCGATAGCATCAAGCCTATCGAAGAGTATAGAGATTTTATTGGAAAGCATAAGTATATATCTAACATTTATAATTATTGCTATATCTAAAATGTACATTTTACCTGAATGTCACATATTCTGATGTTAATACAGAACTAGGCCAGCGTCTCCGATCAGATTTACATTTGACGAAAACCTTGTGGACGAGTCTTCAGGGAAATTATCGCCAAATAAACTGACCGTAGATAACTTGACCATAGATTGGTTGAGAAGTCGCCTCACGGAACTCGAATCTAATCTCAAAACCACACAGCAAAATCGGCAGAGCCCGCAGTTTCCGCAAGAAAATAATAGTGATTCTAGGTATAAGTTTGCACTGTATTACTCAACTTTTTTGTTAATATCAAATATCTCGTTTTCTAATTCTAAATTCAGACAAATAATTATCTTTGCACATTACTAGGGTTTCAGCCTTGGATTATTCTCGCGAGAGAGAAGAGCTGAGATTGCGTTGTCAGGAGAAGAAATTACAAAAGCAAATGGAAGTTATTAGAAGCGCTCTCAATGAATTAGGCTGTGAAGAGTTACCGTCAGGTTGCGATCTTTCTGTGGAAGGTTCTTTCACCGAGTCGCCTACAATTAGCAAAGTAAGTAAATCGAAAATATTTTCTTGTTTATTAAGAAGCAGTTAAATCTTTTTGTTGACTGAAAATGGACTTAATGCACAACGAATTACAAATGTTCAGGTTTTACATCGGATTTCAATATCCAGAAAAAGATTTATTTTGTAATTTATAAATTTATCAATGTGTAGAAGTAGTATTTTCTAGGATAAGTCTTCTTTTGTGGAACAATAAATTGTCCTGAATTGCAAGTTAGTTAGATCTAGTGCTATTACAGAAGAACACAGTCGCTGACAGTGGTTTGTTCACACTGAGGAGAAACCAACGATTCATGACAATACTAAAATCACCCTTCAAATCCTTACCGGCGATTAATAACGCGAAAAACGGAGTGATTAGGGCGAATAGCGAAGGGCCCACAGCCAAAGCAGAAAATAATGTCCCTCCTGTTGTATGTGTTTACACTTGATCTGTGTGATGTTCCGAGTGCTCGTATACGTTTCCTGCGTTCAACCGCAAAGCGATAAGATGCTAAATAAAAATGTGTGATATGTTTTGTGCCAGTCATGTGTAATTTCACCCCAGCACAACAGCTATCGCAGCTTATCGCTATTCTATAGCGGATATTTATATCATAATGTTGCACAGATCTAGGAAGTATTACAAAATCTTCCATCAGAATTCTGATATTGCTTTATCAGTTAATGCAAAGCTTAAAGACCATTTTTTAATTATTAATATTGTGGTTTTTATGATCTATTACAGAAATGTTGCATGATTAGCACAGAAAGAAAAGCGTTCCGATAGTACTGGATTATTTTATAAAGATTAAGCATGTGGTGAGAATTTTGCGCATGCGAATGAATGTTTTTATGTTCTAACATTTGTGTACAGGCTTATATGGAAATCGAGCATATGTATAGCAATGATAAACATTGCAGTTTCTATTTTTTCTACTATTAATAAAATACTTGGACTAATTAAATGTAATTTTAGGTACCAATGCGAGGAATCTCACACTTGACTAACAACCAAAAAACTAATGGAAACGGCGGTCTTATGGAAGAGGAATGGTTTCACGGAGTATTGCCAAGGGAAGAGGTCGTGAGATTGCTCGTAAACGAAGGAGACTTTTTAGTGCGTGAAACAATGAGGAACGACGAATGCCAGATAGTTTTATCTGTTTGCTGGGACGGACACAAGCATTTTATCGTACAAACTACACAGGAGGTAATAAGAAAAATTGTGCATACTAATATATAAATCTAGTATAAAATATTAAAATATATTAGATTGTGTTCAAAGTATGCGTGTTTTTCTATAAATTTTATTACAAAATAAATTTGTTTTACAAATATGGCTCTTTTAATTAATGTATAAAATTAAAAGTATTAATATAATTTTCCTTTTTTTCAAACATTTTTTATTATTTTATTAGTTTATCTATGTTTTACTTAACAAATTTAATAAATTTTGAATAAAAAGACTAAAAACACAGGATTTTTAAAAACAATATAATATTAACAAAATTTATTCTTATTGTACAGAATTTATTTCAAGGCATGAATTACATTAGAATATGTTATTGCAGGGACACTTTAGATTTGAAGGACCCACATTCCCGTCAATTCCGGAGTTAATCAGGCATCAATGGCTATCTGGCTTACCGGTGACCAGTCGATCCGGTGCTATTCTTAAGACGCCAATTTTGCGCGAACGGTGGGAACTTAATAACGATGATGTCATTCTTTTGGAGAAAATAGGTCGAGTGAGTAGGCTGACATTAGCGCTCTGCTGTATATTTAACGTCGTGATATAATGTTTACGTTGTGATTTATAGGGAAATTTTGGCGATGTCTACAAGGCGCAATTGAAGACTTCTAAGACTGACGTGGCCGTGAAAACGTGCAAGGTGACGTTACCGGACGAGCAGAAGCGCAAGTTTCTGCAGGAGGGGAGAATACTGAAG